AGTACCTAGGTCACCCGAACTGTGAATAGGCAGTTCAGTCATGGACTCAAACTTCTCTTCAGGTCAGAACCCTCCTTCGTACATCTGGGATGGTTTTCTACAGGCTTCTTAGCCGAGCAACTCCAGTTACCAGCACCTTGGGCTGAAGGATGAAGGATGAAGAAGAAAAAACTTGTAGCAGAACCCTTTTCTGCGCTAAGAAGTTGAACAGTCAGCTTTCTTGTAGCAAAACCCTACTCGGTAGTGGAGACTAACAGCAGCACTAGAGAATGCTTCCTCTTCCTTGTCTTCGAGCATCAGGACTATAGCTTCTACGCAGCAGTGGAGAGAGACCTCAGCTGGTTGTTTTCCAGGGCTGGATGATCCTGCTCTGATACCATGTTGAGTAGGAGAAGAAGAAAGGTAAGAAGGAAGAAGAAGGAAGAAGGAAGAAGAAGAAGAAGAAGAAGAAAGAAGGGGCTACTGAGTTAAGGCCTCAAAAGAACTGCTTCAGTTGAGTGAAGCATTTGTATTTATACTATACTGGCCGTACAACACAAGAGGTCTACAAAATTACAAAAATACCCATGCGGGCACTAAACCTGCGTACAGTACATATAATACACCTGTCAACAGAGACTCCTCCTCTTGGGCCTCCACCTCGGCCTTTGGCTGAAACGTTGAGGTCTCGGCCTGAGAACCCTCTTGGTCTCGTGATGAACTCCTCCCTCTGACCCATGGAAAACTTAATGACCTACCCTTGGAAGGACCAGTAGACATAGCTACTCACCAGTTGACGGGGACAGGAAAACCAACACCGGCAAAGAACAAGACTGCGGCAGGCGGACCAGTAGACATAGCCATTCACATTCTCTAAGGACTAGAACTGAGCTGGTCCTACATCAGTTGGTATCAGAGCTAATGGTTTATTCACTATGTTCTCACAAAGTGACCGATTCTATAGGCCTAGGGTATCTTCTAAACAATCTTACAGGTCTAGAATCAATGATGATTGGATTTCTGAACCATATGAAGGGTCTTTGGTTGACTTATTTGAGAAGATGGTGGAAGAAAACAGATCTAACAATGTTGTCTACGGGAGAAAGGTTTTCAAACATGTTAGAAGAGAAAGGGAAATACCAGATTTCAAAGGAGATGATGATCCGCAAACATTCTTTGATTGGGTTGCTGAACTAGAAGAATATTTTGATTGGCATGATATGCTTGACAAACAAAGGATTAAATTTATGCGCATGAAGTTGACGGGTCATGCTAAAGTATGGTGGAGAACTCTTGAGCAACGACTAGAAAATAAAGGCGATAATCTAATTAGTACATGGGCAGAGATGAAGAAGTATTTGCAAGAAAAGTACATCCCACTAGACTTCCATGATGATCTATATATGGAGTTGACTAATTCCGAGCAAAAGAAGAAGCAGTAGGTTACAACAAAGAACTTGAAGTCAATGGGAAGAAGGTACAAAGTTGAAAAGAAAGTAGATGATTCATTGCATGTTGATGCCTATCCTATAGCTGAAGTTGAGGGTGAAGCTAAAGAAGAAGAATTTCAAGCTATAGAAATTGTAGATATTAAAAATCAAGAGGGTGCAGGCCAAGAAAAAAACAAATAATTGTTATTTGATTGGCATGATATGCTTGACAAACAAAGGTTTAAATTTATGCGCATGAAGTTGACGGGTCATGCTAAAGTATGGTGGAGAACTCTTGAGCAACGACTAGAAAATAAAGGCGATAATCTAATTAGTACATGGGCAGAGATGAAGAAGTATTTGCAAGAAAAGTACATCCCACTAGACTTCCATGATGATCTATATATGGAGTTGACTAATTCCGAGCAAAAGAAGAAGCAGTAGGTTACAACAAAGAACTTGAAGTCAATGGGAAGAAGGTACAAAGTTGAAAAGAAAGTAGATGATTCATTGCATGTTGATGCCTATCCTATAGCTGAAGTTGAGGGTGAAGCTAAAGAAGAAGAATTTCAAGCTATAGAAATTGTAGATATTAAAAATCAAGAGGGTGCAGGCCAAGAAAAAAACAATAATTGTTGGAGTTTCCAACACCCATGATCAGCCTGAAGTTAATGGTCAAGAAGAAATAGAAGTGAAGCAAGTTAAAGAAATTCAGGTGCAAGATACAAATGTGTTGATTGTAGTAGATCCTAGTACGGAAATAAGTGACTTTACATTACAAGTTCAACTAGAACTAATTCAAGAATTACAACCTGACATAGCAGAAGTCCCACCAACATCAACAATGGAAGGAGTCCTAGAGTTTGTTGAAGAATCAACGATAGCAAAACACATAGAGATGGTGATTCCTAAGCTAGAAGTTGAAGGAAAAGTTCCAAATGTTGCAGTTGAGAATTTGGATAAGGGGAAGATTCATCACAAAGGCTGGTTGATGAATTAAGTGTTCAAGAAACTAATGTTATTGATGATTTACAAAGATGGTTATGGAAGGCAGTGTTTCAGAATTACATTTCTTTCAAGATCCTTTTCTAGTTCTATGTGTGGCCTCTACTCTACAGTCCAAGCATGTAGCTGTGGGAAGTCCTACTCCTTTTGTAATTTGGGCATATCAACTTTTAATCCTCAAGTTCTTCAAAACTCGAGGACAAGTTTTTTTGAACCGGGGGAGAATGATGCAGGATCTGAAGAGTCAAAATTAGAATTTTATGTATTTTGTATGTTTGGACAGTAGGGGTATTTTTGTCATTTTACAATTTTCTGTGGGGTCCATTGAGAGGGTTTAATTTGTGTAGTTATAGTTTGACTCCTAGGATTATCATGAGTTTAGAGTCTATAAATATGTATGGATGTTTTACACAAAGGCAATGAAGTTTATTGAGTTTTCTTCAGCTTATGCTAGCTATGGTGAGTGACTCCTTTGCCCTAGAGTGATTCTAGGCACCCTGTGAGTGATTCCAGGTATTTTTCTCTCCCTATTTTCTCCCTTATTCCTTCCAGAAACCATTACAGCCATCAACAGCCATGATTTCAAATGTCGCTAATGTTGACATGAAAGTGGATGGTAATATAAAAATTACATTATGTCGGTCGACATTTCCTATATTTCGGAAATGTCGACCAAATCGGTCCAAATAACCAAAAAAATACAGTTTTTCCTATTATGTCGACAAAATGTCAACTAATGTACATTAAAAATATAATATTAGTATATTATATTAATATAGATTATTCCATTAATAATTTCTATTTAATATTTCAAATAAAATATTTATAAAAAGAATTAACAAAATATAAAAACAAAAGAATAAATTAATTACTTTATAATATAAAACATAAAATATTTTTCAAGTAATAAAATATT